CTCTAATTCTTACCCAAATAACTTAACCTAACCTAACCCTAAACCTCAAATCTAACCTTAAACCTAACCCTAACCTGATGTATTTTAACTGAACTCAACCTAAACTAACCTAACCTACTCTAATCCTAACCCTTATCTAACCCTAACCCTAACCCTAATCCTAAGGCAAACTCTAACTTAACCTAACCCTAACCGGCCCTGACCTTGAACAAAATCCATATCCCCCCTCTCTTAACCCTAACCCTAAACCCAACCTAACATTAACCCTAACCCTAACATTGACTACATGTATAATCATATCCCTAATCCTACCCCTACCCCTACCCCTACCGTTACCCCTAACCTTAACCTTAACCGTAACCCCGACACCTAACCCAACCCCTATTCCTTACCCAAACAATAACTAAACCTAACCCAATCCCTGACCTTGAACAAAACCCACATTACCCCTAACCCTAACCCTACTCCTAACACTAACCCTAATAATATAACCCTGTCCTGCGTAAACTGTTGATGAAAAAGGGAAAGGAGTTTAAAGATTTACAAAAACAAAATAAAAAGCAAAACAGCAGCAAAAACAAACCAATAAAAAAAATAGGAAAAAAAAACAGAAAGAAGGTAAAAAATGTACACATTTTCCATGGTGACGTCATCACATACCCGTGCGGGATTTCAAAACGCGCGAGGAGGCCACATAGCTTATGGTCAGACTGACCAGCAGAACCAGCAGCAGGGGTCGGCTGTGACGTAAGAGGAGACTGGGCATTATGGTGCTGGTGTTGCAACGGTGGTGCTTGTGATGGTTATGACGTCAGAACTTGATGTCTTCCGATCAGCTGTCTGTTCACGAAGGCCATTTGTTGATTGAACGCGCCGTATTCCGCCTCACGACCGCTCTCTGGGTGGGGGGTTACAAGAAGGCTGATGGGGAGAGAATTGTAGACAGTATAAAATACAGTTGTGTGTATGTATTATGTCATGTAAGCATACAAAAGTTACGTAAACGTACACAAGGATGAAGGCACATATACCTACCCCC